TTGGAACATGGCATTCTATAAGTTTAAAATTTAAGTGCTTGCTGGAGACGCACGCGCGCGCATTTTATATCTTTTTATATTCGAAGGAAATTTGGAAGTCAAACTTCCGACAATAATACGGACAGATGAAAAGCAGAGATGGGCAGAGGCAGAGAGAAGAGAAGAGTAGAAGAGAGCAGATCAGAGAAGAGAAAGAGTCAGAAGAAAGAAGATGCAGACGCGCGAAAAGGTAGGAAAGCCGCGAAACGCTGTGTTTTTCCAATGATTTGTGGCTCCGGAGAGTCTAAAAGTAGGCTCGCTAAAGCGGCGGGTGCGGAGCCATCTGGCCAGATGAGCGATGAAAAAGTGCACGCCGTTGTGGTGCGAAGCACATTTCGAAGTCAAAACACACCATTCTCGGACCACTTTCGGAAGTTGAGATGTCGAAAAAGTGCACGCCGTGGTGGCGCGAAGCACATTTTCGAAGTCAAAATGTGGAAAACACACCAGGTTCGGACCACTTTTGGAAGTTGCGATGTCGAAAAAGTGCACGCCGTTGTGGCACGAAGCACATTTCGAAGTCAAAATGTACAAAACACACCAGGTTCGGACCACTTTTGGAAGTTGCGATGTCGAAAAAGTGCACGCCGTTGTGGTGCGAAGCACATTCCGAAGTCCAGGTGTACAAAACACACCCGTTTGGACCACTTTTGGACATTCAGATCTCGTTTCGCGTGGCAGGCGCAAGGGATTGTGCACCTCGTCAAAAGTGAGCAAAACGTGGGGGTTTTGTAGCATTTTCAACTACAACCACCACTACACCACACTACACTCCAATACACTACAACTACAACTACACCTTCACTACATTCCACTACACTACACTCCACTACATTCCACTACGCTACACTAGACTACAGTCAATTACACTCAATTACAATCAATTACGCTACACTACATACACTACACTTCACTACACTACACTCAATGACATTCAATTACACTACACTACATACACTACACTACACTTCACTACACTAGATTCCACTACACTACATTACACTACACTCCACTACACTACAACTACAACTACACTACATTCCACTACACTACACTCCACTACAATCCACTACACTACACTCAATTACACTACACTACATTACACAACACTACACTACATTCCACTACACTACAACTACAATACATTACATAACACTACACGACAACTACAACTACACCTACAACTACAACTACGACTACACTACACTAATTGCTTTACACTACCCTACACTACACTACACTACGCTACACTACACTACACACTACACATCACACTACACATCACACTACACACTACACAACACTACAAAACACTACACAACACTACACAACACTACACACTGCACACTGCACACCACACTACACACTGCACACTACACACTACACACTACACACTACACACTACGCTACGCTACACTACACTACCCCACATTGCATTACATTACATTACATTACACTGCACTCATTACACCACCACAAATGCAACTGCGACTACACTACACTAATTGCACTACACCACAACTACAACTCCACTAAACTACAACTACGACTACAGCTGCACTACACCACACTACATCCAGCAGTTGTGGGTGAGGTGACCGACCAGGGGACCATTGCAACCATTGCAGCCACTCCAAAAAACACAGCTCCAACCACCTTTCGGTCCATCAGTGGATTCGCTCTGCCATCCGTGACTCACAACACCCAGCTTCTCCTATAGGTTTCCTATTTTTGAAACTTCCGCCACCGCCTTGCGCGGTACGAGTACTACTGGTAATTTAAAATCGTTTGTTTGAAGCATGCCTGGTTTGCAGAAATAAGAGCTTTCATTCCCACAAGCTGCGATCTGATGCGATTTGTCGATTTGTCACATTCATGAACCGCAGGAGGCAAGAAATCCTGATTTTTTACATAAGTACTACAATTTTTTTACATAAGTATTACACATGTACCTTGGGCAATGTCTTCTACAAAAAGTCGTGCCCATCTAGAGTTTTTGAGGCGCTTTGGCTTGAATTGGACATGCGCATTTCCTTGTTAAATGATGATTGCCCTTTTACAATCTAGCTACTCCAAAATTGGCATGTCATTCATGAGCTTTTGCCTTACGAGGAGCATATCCAGCAATCAGTTTCGTTTTTCATGCGTAGCAAGGGTTCCCGTTTCACTCTGTGGGTCTGGATGTTGAGGGTGTGTTCGCTCGACTTTGCATTTATGTTCGCAACCGTCCGCAACCGTCCGCAACCGTTCGCAACTGTTCGCAACCGTTCGCAACCGTTCGCAACCGTCCGCAACCGTCCGGAACCGTCCGCGTGAGGGCCATATGGCCGTGCCTATGGTAAGTTCTGCACAAGGGGTCACTTTTGGAGGTTTCACATGCGGCGTTGCTTTGTTTCGCGTGGCAGGCGTGGCGCTTTGTGACATTCAGACTGTTTTGTAACGTGTCGAAAGTCGTTTTTTG